CTTGCGGAAGTGCTGGAGGAGGAGGACCCAGACACAGAGCGTCGGTGTTTTCAGGGGCTCGACTCGGCCTCCACGGGTTATGGTTTAGGGTTTAGGGTTTAGGGTTTAGGGTTTAGGGTTAGGTTGTGTAAGGGTTGATGTTGCTGGGTTGGGTTTTGAATGTGGGAGTCGTTTTAGCGGTCGGAATAAACAGGTAAGAAGAGTATGCTCTGCAGGTTCCTACACCGTTCTTGTAGAGTTGAGTATACCCCCCCCCCCCCCCCCCCGCGACCTAAAACCCTGTTCGAAGGCCCTGATATGAAACCTAAACCCTACTCCCTAAACCCTCACCTAAAACCCTGTTCTAAGGCCCTCATATGAAACATAAACCTTCAACTCTAAAGCCCCACCTGAGACGCTGTTCTAAGGCCCTTATATGAAACCTAAACCCTAAGCCCTCGTTCAGCTATGCAGGAGGCAAAAAAACACTTTTATGTAACCCCAAGGTCCTGAGTGACCCCCCAGGAGTTCGACGACGACGAGGCCATCGTTGAGCAAGGCGAAAAGGATGACAAGATGTTCATTCTCCGCACCTCGGCTTATTGGGTTTAGGGGTTGAGGGTTTAGAGTTTAGGTTGGATGGAGGAAAGCCTGTTGCAAAAGGTTGGATGGATGGATAAGGCGTTGGGGTTTGCTATGTAATTTTACAAATCAGGAACCCGAATAATGTTAGTAATTCTTCAGGCATGTACATTAGGGATTCAAGGGGGGAAGGGGTTTAGGATTTGGTTTAAGTTTAATTAGGTGTTCGAACGAAATCATGTTTCTTGTATTTGCGAGCAGGGATATTTAAGCGCTGGCCTCCCAGTAAAGGGATGTAGCAAGTTTTTCACAGAGCCAACCGTCACAGTATTTGCGTGTCAGACAGCATTTACTTCGTGTCATCATATGTATAGTTACCAGGGAGCACATAGTGCTCACTACCCCTGGGTGTGTGTGTGTGTGTTCACAGAAATTCGCCAAGCCTTGATAAGCACATCATAAATCAATGCTTGTCAAAGCGGACATACCACCCTCGACCACAAAACCCTAAAGCCCCGCAAAACGTACAGTAAGCCTTGTGCCGCCAATAGCCCGTCAGAGCCGCGACGGTTTTCAAAAGCCTTACGAGCCAAAACCCGGCAGAAGGCACCAGAACCGCTTTGCACAGGCACCGGCCAGGCTGTGGCATGCATTGGCGGCGAGAAGGGCGAGATTGAGGCATAGCTACCGGCGGGTCGGGGTTTGAGGGTTCAGGAATTGCATGTGGCTTTGGTGGGCCAAGTGTGTGCGAGCGGGAGAGAGAGAGAGAGAGAGAGTGAGTGAGTGAGTGAGTGAGTGAGTGAGTGAGAGAGAGAGAGAGAGAGAGATAGCCGGGGTCCTAGAGGCCAGGAGGTCTGACAACCACCCTATGCCCGAAGGAAGACAAAAAGAGAGGGCGAGAGAGAGATAAAGGGTGCTTAAGGTTTCAGGGTTTGGAGCTTCTGATTGAACTGCTGTGAGAGCCTTGCAGTTTGATTGAGTTAGAGTCAGAGTGTTGACAGTTTTTCTGTAGAGTTTCGGTAGGTGGGAGGGTGCAAGTCAAAGAACACATCCACCCCCGTTTGACAATCGGCTGGTGTTTTGGGAGAGGCTTGCAATAGTTGTAAACATGGCAATGGCTCTAGCCCTACTATGTCCGGATACCATGATCGGATGTTGAGCCTCGCAGCATCGTGTCCACCTCAGGTCAAGCAATATGCCAAAGGGGAGTATTTCGGAGAGATTGCGCTTCTCAGCGGCCAGCCGCGTAAGGCCAGTGTGTCGCTTGGCTGCCCTTGTTTGCATGGACTGGGCAAGCACACGTAGCCACAGCCCAAGGAAAAAGGCGAAACAACCAATTTAGAACATCATTCTATAGGGTTCCTGATGATATCTATAGCGCAGAATACACCCTAAACCCTAAACCCTAAACCCTAAACCACTGAAATGGCACTACGATTCTGAAGGCCCTTGGGCTGCCAGAAGATCCGAAGAGTTACCGCGATCTAGGCTAGTAACCGTGAGAGAAACCCTAAACCCGAAGTTGGACTCCCAAAATTGCCTTGAACCCGAAACCCTCAAAAATAGGCCGTCCTAAACCCCCAGGCCCTAAACCCCTAAGCCCTTAACCGTAGAACCTAAGCCCTTAAGTCAAGGACATTTTCAGGTGGGAAGTTACCGTTATAGGAGCCTTATAGAAGGTCTATATACCTTTATGGACGCCTTATAGACACCCTATATACCCTAAACTCCCCACCTGTAGTTTCCTGTAAACCCTAAACCCACTCCGCCTTGGCTCTTGAACCCGATTGCGTCATTTGCTTGTGACCCTACATGCCCAGTGCTTCGTAGGATTTCCACAGCTTTGTCCCTCTATGTCCCAAGGCCTCAATGTTCTTAAGTTGGGTGCGAGTGTCAGCGTCGAAAGAAAATCCTGTATAAGATCCGAAGCCCCTGCGCCCAGGTATGCAGTCGGCAAAGCGACCTGCTTCTTCGCTGATTCATGGGTCTTAGTGCTTACAGGGTGCTGCATGGGGGCTTTATGAAAACAAGGTGCGGAGCTGTTGGCCTGGGGCATCCGGGTGCATCGGGTCTGCTGAGCTCCCGAGGCGTCACATTCAGAAAGGAACTTGGAGTCCCCTTCTGCGCTCTTACCCCAGAGAAGGGCGGATGACAGAAGCATGTCGTGGCTCTTTTCCGGACTGGCACCAAGCTCTTCCGCAACACCAGAAAACTCGTAGAACAAGGTCGAACCTCAGCCCAACCCTGCAAGAGAAGGATCCCGGTACCTCACAGGTTTCTACATCACCCGGTCGACCTTTCGACGAATCCTGGGGCCTCTTCAAAGCTTCCTGGAGAAGAACATGGACAAGTACGTCGCGACCTTGGGTGGGTGTTCATCGTGTATACGGAACACATGCTTAAACCCGGCATCAACATGGGAGTTTCCGAAAACAAGAGGTGCCTTAATAGGGATCCTACTACTTAGAGTACTGAATTAGGGTCCCCTATTTACGGAAACCCCCCACCGGGGTTTCCGAACAGCCTGTCTGACCTGATTCCACTCTCCTTCCGGCACTCAGGCCAAGTACCAAGATGCCATGAAGGAGGGCGCCAACGAGGATCTTTTCTTCAGCTGACATGACGTAGCATTTTGTATCCTGAGCATGGAGGTTAGATGGGTTGATGTTGGGGAAGCGGAGACCATGGCAGCATGGCTCTGAATTTCATGCGCTTGCTACGAGTTTTTCTCTCAAATCTGCAGGGTGCCTTTGGAAGATTCACCATATCTTCAGCATCACTTCGCTCATGGCTCGGGTCGAGTGCCGCTTCACCTTCCTCGACGTCCTCTTGGATGATGAAGAGAAGGTCTTGGACATGAAGCGCAGCCGTGCACGCAGCGAACCTCCCCGCGCCTGTGCGGACATGGTCAACGAGGATTACACGGCAGGGAAGGGTTCGACTCCCCAGGCAGACCAGACAAGCGCCGATGTTCCGCAGTTTCAGCCAGCAACGGGGCCTGCCCATGCCGCTTTCGGCAACGACGGGAGCATCGGTCATCCCATCCTTTGCAAGCGCCCTTGCGTTCATGTTGCAAAGGGAGGGCCATGCCCGCTTGAAAACACATGCCCCTACTGTCACTTCCCACACCGTGTCCTACACAGGCCCAAAGAGGAGCAGCGAGCTTTCATGAAGAAGATGCCGACTGCGGAGCTCCTTAGCACCATCTTGGTGCTGCTCCAGGAGAAGGCTCAGGCCACAAACCTCCAAGGCACTGCGCCTCTCTTCGATGTGCTTCGTGCGGAAATCCACAAGCAGGAGCGGCCAAAGCCGACCGCATGTGTTCGTGACCCGACGAAGAAGCGTCTTCTGCGTGGTCTTCGGCAGACGATGCAGAAGATGAATTTTGCCGGCTTGGCCGGCATGGCAGTGAGCAAGTGCGAGGGAGCCTGTCAGGCCGAATTAGTCCAAGCGATCGAGCGCTTGCGCATGTAATTGGGAGGCTCTTGCGGCGGTGAAGGTTGTAGGTAGGTGAAGATCGTCATGATACAGTATCTGATACAGCATTATTATTGGCCGCAGATTTTCCGACACGCTCTTATGGGTCAGCGTGAAGGGGTTGGCCCCCCAATGAATTGTTTTAATGCTTCGGATGGCAGGACGACCAAATCTGATTCTCTCCCAACAACTACACATCTGATCTTGTGCAGCGTATGGTCGGCGCGGGTTTCCCTATCATAGTATAGCGAGTAAGCAGCACCAGAGGCAAACCAGCCGCTGACCAAGAGGGCCATCTCCATCACAGAAAGTACCAGTAGTAGCTATCAATGAACGGAAGACTGGTGATACGGGGTCACGTAGTCTTATAGCAACCAGAACAATCTCTACATGCTCTAATGGCGGCTGTAGTACGACCAGTAGTGCAGTAACTGCGATGGCTGCAGCAGTGGCAGACAACCAGCTTGGGATTCACAACAAGAGCCCTTGAACGGACCAGAAAAGGCAATGGTTGCAGTCATAGCAACTCGTTGCACGACAAGCGATGACAAGGAAACGGATTTCACCGGTGTTTAGCAGCATAGTCAGATAGCAGGACATGTTGCACCATCACTGCTGCCCACCAGCCACGGACATCACAACCTTAGCGATGCCACAGCCAGAGGCACCTGCAGAGATTACGCTGCGTTTGGGGTCGAAACGAACCCATATCCTACATCCCGCTGGGGGACTTTGTGTCGGCACGGAATAGGATAGTCACCGGTGAGAGCTGAGACCTGACTTGGTTTTTGCTGTTCAATCTTGCAGACACCCCATCTCGGAAGGTCGGAAGCCATCCTGACTGGAATGCGTTCCTGCACGTACAGATGCATGCTCACGAAGGAGATTCGGGTGCTGGCACTAGCAGTCAGTCAAGAGGTCGTCCGTCTGCATGTGGAGGAGATAGAAAGCCGCTTCATCGATCAGTGCTAGTGGCACATGCACACGATGTATGCAGAATTAAATCGTACCGATCAGCTGCGGCATGCTGCAGCGCAGGCAGTACCTGCAGCTAAGCAGGCTTCCGTGTCCATGTTCAGGACATGCATTTTTGAGGCTTTGCTGGCTTCGCCGCAGCTTTTCTAGCGAGTCCTTCTACCAACGTAGTTAGCAAGGATTCGTTGGTCCGTGCTGTGCTTAGCTGTCGCTGTGACCAGGACAGGCCTGGCGGCAGGCACAGACGTTTTATGGTGAGGCTCATCATGTGGCTCCGTCCACCGCGCGTGATGCGCATTGCTACACTTTCGGATGTTCTTTGTGCGTGTGTGTTGCTGCACATTTTCTTTGGAACCCGACCCCTGGCAGTTCGGGGCGCCGTTCCGAAGCAGTGCAGCAGCCCTCACGGCAGAGCCGTGTATTCGTGACCGGTTTTGTGGCTGGAGCCGGAGAGGCAATGCAGTCGCTCTCGGTCAGTAACCAAGAGGCCTCCGTGACATTTTGAGGCTTTTTGGTAACTTTGCATGCTCAGGGCCGAATGTTCGCAGCGGCGTTCGCTGTGTAGTTCGATTGTCCTCAGGTCGAGCCATCAGGACTCGCAGCAGGAGCTTTTAAGATCTCAAGGTCTCTGAATTTGGCGAGATCCAGAATTTGGCTTAATGCCAACGCGCAAGATGCGCCCTTTTGGAGTCAGGCTGGAAGTTGCGAGCACCGGGCCCGGCGCTCTACTGGATGATCTGGTCGCAGTATAAGTAGCATAGCAGCATGACATCTAGGAGGCTGCGCCCGCACGGCTCGCTTGATCTCAGATGCCGTATACTCGGGATTGCATTCATAGCAATGGCAAGCTTCTGCCGAATTGCATGGACCGGCCAAAAACACGCGTCGCAGCATGTCTGAAGAATCTGTGCAAGGCAGGACAAGAGTCAGTTCGATTTTATTCACCAAATACATCCAAATTCACGCCTAGGTATCTTTTCAGAGTTCACCATACCACCCAGACCATATCCTAGTTCTTCAGGTGCCCACATCATTATGGCAGATTTGCCGGTTGTCTTATCGAGTTTAGTGCTCTTCATAAAAGGTCCAAGAAGAAAATCTTACTGCCGACCATGAAGTGCTTTAGTTCGACTGCAGGAGCATCTTCTGCTTGCCGTTATTAGAATGCCTTATAAGAGCCCCTTAACCCTTAACCCGTGTTATTAGAATGCCTTAGATTGGAAGAGCCCCTAAGCCCCTAAACCCTTAACCCTTCAACCCTAAACCCTAAACCGGAGCACTCAGTCCTCGAAGCGACATGTGTTCGCCTTGGATGCGCTGCGCCTTTCCTCCCCTGCGTACTCGAAGGTCCATGGGAGCACACCACAAGAACTGAGGTTCATACACAGTGGTAATAAGGGTGTAAAAAGGGTCTAAGGCTTAGGAGGTTTATAGGGTTATAACTGTACACGTCCAGTTGTCCATATGCGTTGACCGTGCTTTCACTCTACACATGTCCGTGAGCCTTCAAGTAGCAGCACCTCAGAGGCAAAAGAGTCTGTACAGCTGTGAGATTCTGGCCAGGTCGGAAAGTCAAGGATGCAGGGAACAGGGTTTAACATTTGGGGTTTAGGCTTTAGGGTTTAGGGCCTTAGGGTTTAGGGTTTTATTTTTGTTTTTAGGCAAGCTCGACCTCCCCAAGACCTGCCTATAAGTCTTCCATACTATGAGCCCGGAACGCTTGACAACCCGCAAGCCGAAGCCTCGAAACTCAGCAATCCGAAACGGCCCAGGCTTTAGTAGGATGTTTGTATAATAACCACCGGATTTTAGCTTTTGGAGCTTGCGAGGTTCCGGGCAAACCCGACAAACAAAAACCGATCTTGGCTTCCAGGAGGATGACAAGAAGGAGGGGGCTCCGCAGGAGAAGAAGCAAAAGGCCTGGTTTAGGGTTGATAAGGTTCAGGAACCTAAGATGTAATAAACCCTATAAGCTTTAAACCCCTGAATCCGAAGTCGCTTGAATGAGGTTTCTATCAAGATTACGAAGCCCACGAGGCCTGTTTTAGCCACCCAGGCTAGCAAGAAGCATAAGAACCCCTCGCACACATTATGGAATTAGGGCCAACCGGAAGAAGGCTCGGCGACCCCATGCCCCAAGCCCTCAACCGCTAAACTCAGGCTAAACTGATATAGGGGCACAAATAATTGCCTATACTATGTTGGAGGTTCCTCATTATAGTTATACTATAAAGGGCCCCCAACACCATATTCTAATTATTAAGGCCCCTATATTAGCTCAAGCCCTCAACCCGGTCCCCTTCTAAACCTGACGGTTCAGGGTTTCACGGGGTTTCAGGAGGGGCTCAGGGTTCCAGGGCTTAGGGACTCTTCGAACAGACCGTCCGCAAGCGGGAGAAGAAGGGCGAGGACCTCGACAAGATCGAGCGGCTCGGTGGATTAAGATATCCTAAAGAGGAGGTCTGAGGACTTGGTGCAGAGAAATTATGTGGGTTTAGGGTTTAGGGTTGAAATTATATAGTCTCTGTGCCATATTATCTGCAGCCTCATGTACAACCCCAATGCTAGGCTACAGTGTTCTAAAAGCGGGATCCTAAAAAGGAACCATAGGTATGTCGCGAAGGCAGTCCTGAACTTGCTTGTGTTTCACTTGCAACAGACCTCGAACCACACATGCCTCGCCTGGATTGTCCGAGTGTGAGCGCCGAAACCCGTAAGCCGTACCTCCTGTAAATCCGAAACAAACCCTAAACCCTATAAACCCTCAACCCTCAGCCCCCTGGGTCAGGAAACATCAAGGAAATCACAGTATGGTAAGCCCTAGTCCCAAAATGCAATCATCAAGCCCTCGCTTTAACCTTCTGTATACCTCAAAAGGCCCGAAAGCCAAAATCGTAAAGCCCCTTGAGCCCTAACCCCCTGATTGCCACTGTTACAACCCTATGAGGGCCCTAAACCTAGGAAGAAGGTGTCCTACCCCTTAAAGAACCCGCATAGCACCCGATGAGTTCTAAACCCAGGAAGAAGGTGGTGAGCGAGGCAGCCAGCGAGAGTCCTGCAGAGACCCTCGCAGACAAGGTGGCGCAGGAGAGCGGAGCTGAATAGGGAGGATTTTCTGGGCTTATGGGGCTTTGGGGGTTTATGGCTTTTTAGGGTTAGGGCTTACGGGGTTTACCAGGTTGGATGGGGTTTTCTAGGCTTGTATATGGTGCTGTTGTAGGGTTTGGAGGGTGTACTACACGGCTACCTTCTCAAGGTTGTAGGGTTTATTTAAGGGTTACCAAATGAGGACTATGAGTTGGTGTCTTGCTTCAGGGTTTGGGCATGTTAGAACACGAGCCCTGATTGCCTAAAGCTCTGCTATAGGGTTCTCTAAGCCTTGTGCCTGCTAGCATCCACCCCACAAACATGTTGAGTTCTAGCTAGTTTCTTTGACGACAGGAAACCAAAAATAACACCGTTCTACCTCTTAAGGCACCCACAGCAGCCCCACATGGTTCCGAACACTTAGTCCTGGCATGGACACCAAGGTTCAGGGCTAAAGGCTAACGGTTCAGGGTAGTTATTGTATGTTAGGGCTTTAGGCAACTATAACTGTAGATACCCGCAAACATGGGCGCCAAGGCCTGGATTTCAGCTATAAGCACTCATGAGTGTAGGTACCGTAATCATAGGGATCAGAGCTAACACGTGAGGACTTCAAGAACCCGGCACTGGTAACACCCAGCGATGCCCACGTGGTCGACGATGCACCTCGCTTGCAGCGACGGGTGGCTTTAAATTTCGTTCTGTTTGGTGCATTTGGGAGAGGGCCTCGAACTATTGGACAAGGGGTTGAGTAGGTTCGGGTCCTTGACGTAGTCGATGGCCGTGAGTTTTGACGTTTTGACTTTTTCGGATGTGCGGATGACCCTGTTTTTTTTCATCGCGTTGCTGTGGTAACGATAAAGCTGGGGATGATCAGGAGGGTCGTGACGATCATTCAATAGCGATGCGTTGGCCTGTTCTGGCCATGCGCTAATGCTCATGCTGATTAACTCCTCTGCTTGCTATCAGTGCTACAGTGACCATCGTAATCATGCCTGCTGGCGAGGGTCATCTTGCCGGCATTGTTGCTGTCGCCATCTGTTCCTGCTACTGATACTGCTGCTACTGCTGCT